ATTTGCCTACATTTTTAATCTCAACTAGTTGTACATACAGGGGGAATATAGGAACAAAGGTGCTCACCAAGAGCAGTGGATTACCAGGGACTTACAAAATGCAAAATGCAAAATTGCATACCTATCTTCCCCTGTGCAGGCTGATTCTAGTTCTTCTTGCTGCTCCTATAGGGGAATGCTGGGATGTATGGCGAGGTTATATTTCATGTAGGGATGTCAGTTCTCCACAACAGCACAAGGAAGCCTAAACCCCACAGCACTTTTATCTTCAACTGCAACTCTGACATCCTCCACCCAAACGGTGAAACAAATGATACAATCACAAAATTCAACCATTTTCAAAAAGAATTTTATATTACAGCTCCCCTGGATAATGTGTCAGGATATTTGGTACAAAAGGAATGGATCTTAACTTAAACTGTTAATGATCCTGCTGATATAATCTTCACTCTGTGTAGTTCGGGAGAGCTATTTCAGACCAAATTTAATCCAGTTCTATAGAGAAAAAGCCTCTGCGATGCTTGTGGCTCAAAGACTGAAATTTCTGTGGTCAAACAACAGTCAGAGTATTCACGCTTCCCAGACAGTTATGTCCTGTGAGCATAATTAGTTAGCCCCACCACAATACTAAGCAGTGACCATCAGTGGACTTTCAACACTGCACCACTGTTCTGTATCAATCTGTTAACGCAGAAGCAGCCTGAACAAGCTTTTCAATGAGGCTGTTATGTGGTTTGGGTGATTCAATGGCATGAACACAGCTGACTGGCAGAGATGAAGTTAGTTCAAGCACCCGTCTTCTGTAAGGGCTGGATTGAACTGCTGCCCTGATACAATTTCTTCCTCGACTACCTTTTGCCTCGAGTATTAGGAGACTCTTTCCTCCTTTGCAAATTGCTTTATAATCTGAACTTTTATAACAAGTAAATCCCATTAGATTATCTCCTTATTTTCTCCACAATGCAAAACGTATCTATTCTTGTCTGTCCCAATTCCATTGTAATCACCGATCCAGTAAGTTCAAAGTCTGACTTTTCTTTTTTTCTTAAGCACATACCCTCAATGTAATTAAATATCTTGTTCCGTAATAACCAGCTGTTATCTTAGTCTTCCTCCCAGTAGAGGTTGTTTTTAATACCAACGAGGGATTTTCCACCAGCTTAATTATTTGATCTCCTGGTTCTGAAAGTGTTTGGAAGAAAAGCAGAGGGAAAAGTAAGTTGGTTTGTTTATTTTAATGGAAGGAATGGTTTGGAAAACAAGCTCTGGTGAATTTCTAATTTATTTAATTTTCTGGATGATAGGGTCTCTTTAATTTGACCATCTGTTTATTAGTGTTTGAATATGGATGAAGTTGGGAAATATATGTATTTTCAAACAAGGAAGTGGAGGTATACACAACCTCAGGCAGAAACTTAAGTCACATCCTGGAAAAAAAAAAAAAAAAGAAGAAGAAGAAGAAGAACAAAAGACAAAGAAGGCCATAACAAACTCTCAGTGTTTTCTGTCTCTCCTCCGATTAGTGACTGTCTGGGACAAGTAGGCTTCCTTCCAAGTAGCAGATATTGTGCTGTGTTTTGAATTTTTGATGAAAATAGTAATGATAAGTGTGACAGTTCCAGAGAATCATAAAATCATTAAGATTGGACAAGACCTCTAAGATCATCTAGTCCAACCATCCACCTACTACCAGTGTTGGCCACTAAACTATGGTTGTACCACATCTACACATTTCTCCTCAAACTTCAGAGATTCTTTACCCACAACAGATTCTATGTAAGTGACCAATAGCTAGCTGAAACTTTGAAAACTTCGGTAATAATCAGGTGTACCTTGTTATTGAATCTCGTTAAACCACTGTCTTATTTACAACTAAACCATGTTAGATCACTACTTTGTATCAATAAGCATATCGCTGCTTCGTACTTCCAAGTGAAAGGTTCTTGGTTCTTGACAATAACACACAGACATTTTAGTTGTTATTGAACAGCGCAATGTATTCAAAGTCCACAAAAGGAACATCCTCAAACAATATTTCAGATGTAGCTTGACTCTCAGCTCATGGAAATTCAGAGTCATTTGAGCTTCAAGATGCACCAAATACCCAAAAATATGTCCTGGAAAAAAATAACTTCTGTAATAAACTGATTTTCTGATGAATGAGAAACAGGATGATACTATAATGCTTTCAGATAAACTCCTGTCTCCAAGCAGCTACGGATGACAGTTACAGTATGAGTTAGATAATTAAACTGCAGAAATAGTCTTATTTTTTTTTCTGAAGTTATTGGCAGTAAAATGACTGATTGAAACTACTCTTTGATTTAGAAAACTAAATAAAACAAACAGTAACCAAATACATAGACAAGAAAGACAAATTAGATGAACAGTTCAGCTGTTTTAACTAATTAAGAATTAATAATTTTGTAAGCAAATTGTTACAATTGGGGAAAAGGTTTGAAAAATTTCTATATTTTCTTTAATTTTACTAATTCCTATAATTATTATATTCTGATAAAGAGAATAAAGCATTTCTATAAAAGAAATATGTTTAATAACCTGAACAATGTTAGTTAACTTTTTTGAATTCTCAGAATTATCAGTACATGAGTATATTGTCCATAATAAAGCTTCATTCTAGTCTTGCCTACACTGACCTGCTCATTGTTCATTTCAGACTTAATGATTTAAGAACAAAGCCTTCATGCATGTTTTTATTTTCTTGGATACAGCTCATCTTAAGAGCTTAAAGAAAGATGACAGGGTTCAAGAGAACACTATAAAAGGGGAGGAGGGCTTAAAAGCTTTATTTAGAACTTATTCACCATTGAGAATTCAGAATATAAACTATTGAGTCAGCTGCACTCATCTGTTATATTCTCATCTTTTTACTATTCCAGAAGATTTTTGCTTCCTATCTATATATTTTTTGGGGGAAACTTTGGCAATCCTGATGAGAACTTGCATTTCCAGATTGTCTATTTGCAATATCTGAGTTTCTTTTTAAAACTTATAGTGAGAAAGGATGGTAAATTCTGCACATGAGATATCAGGAAAACCTACCACTGAATATATTTTTCCTGACATAAGTTCCATTAAGATTTATTATAATTGGAAGCATTAAGAAGTCCCTTTGTATCTGACCTTCTTATTGAAATAATTGAGCTGGACATCATCCCAATACCCTGCATGAGTATTTATGCAGATATTGGCTACATATACATATTGAAAGACATTTGCCCACAAAGTAACCTCTAGATTCCAGGTAAGTCCTGGTGCAGAACAGCTCACATATTTTCAGTCTAGCCCTCTCTAGAGCAGTCTGGTCATGTGCAGAAATTTGCCCGAGTTTCCTCTAATCTCCTGTGTTGCAGCCCTGCAATTGTTAAGGAAGTCTCACTTTCTGCCTATATTTTTTCTGATCCCAGAATCCAGAATAATATGAAATTGATCAGAGCTCACAGACACTCCAGACCTTTGTGTTGCCTCTGATACTCAACACTGTTTGACCACAGTTTGCTGTCCTCCTTCATCCCTGTGTTCTTACAGCTCAAGCTCTGTAGGCTCCTATCTTCAACAAAGAACCAACTTTCTCAGTCCAGAGTCTTAGCCACCTTTAACATGACATTAGCCCTTACACGTTCCCTCTGGTGATTTTAACCATCATACTGCTTGCTCAATTGCTTTCGGGTTTTTTTCGAAATAATTTAGCCTGCTATATGTCAACATTCAAACAGGTGTTTTTGATTTGGTATTTTAAAGTCTGCTTTTCTTCCCTGAGCTTTGTCAAGTAATTATTAAGACAGTCTGTTTGGGACTTACATATTAACTTCAGCATTTGAGTCCCCTTTTCTATTTCAGGTATTAAGATAGAGGATACAACATTGTTTAGGAGTATAGCTTTACAAAATTACAGCTCTTGTCTCCTTCATTAACCTATCCTACACACATCATAGTTCTTTCGCTTTAAATCAGGGGATGTATGGTCTATATGATAGCCATAAAGTGTTAGAGTGTTTTATAACAAAGCCAGGAATAGGGCTAGTGCTACTTCCAGGCAGGTTCGTCGATAATAATGTCCTCTTTTCTATTGTGATGTCTCCCTGGATAGATTGCCATATTAGCAGCTAAAGTTACCATTGGAGTCTACCTGTTTTTACCCTGAATCCATATAGCCCTTAATTTGGATAAAAGGGATTTTCATAGTATTTGTGGCTCCTACTCTAACCTTACACAACATGCAATCTTGTGGAAGTGCAATCAGTGCTGCCTTCAAGGCTGTCTGAACAAATAATGATTGACTTAAGGTAAATTAAAATTTATTACGTAAGAGATGAGGGATTTATCTGAGGCAAGGCAATTCTTTTTCTAGTAATAAAAAAGTTCAGTATCTGTGGCAATTATTTCTCTCTCAGAGCATCCAAGCTATTGTTCCCTTTTTCTGTTGCAGACTATGAACAAGTGACCAATTTCTCTGAGATCAGATTGAAGATGCCAGCAACCAGAACACCCAGATTCCCTTTTGCGGGGCTGCTCTCCAGTCCCTCATTCCCAAATCTATACATTCAATCCAGGACTGCCCCATCCCATGTGCAGAACCCAGAACATGCTCTTCTTCAGGCAGATGGGACAACCCTCAAATTTGCCAAGAACTTGGTGCAAGGCCTCCCTATCCTCAAGGGAGTCAATGCTCCTCCCAGCTTAGCATCATCCAAAAATTTACTTAACACAACTTCCAGAACATTATTGGAAGCAATAGAGAAAACAAAGAGAAACGGCCTTAAAATGGAGCCCCACAGACTGCCACTGGTCACAAGTAGGGCAACAATCAGGACATAGCATCCCTCAGCACAACACAGACATGTTTTGGTTATCATGGGACATTCTTAGGGTCACAACACCATGACCTTATGAAGTCACGAGACACTTCCCTGACAACTGCTATGAATATGAGGACCCTGACGTCAGAACATCAGTTGTGACACAAGCCAGCCAGGTAACAAAGGCAGGCAGGCAGGGGCTGCCATGGGAAGCCAATCAGCCAGCCATGGGAAGAAGGCAGAGACTGTGATGCCAATCACCCACAGGAGAAAGGTAGGGGCCACGAAGCCAGCCAGCCAGCCAGCCAAGGCAGGCAGGCAGAGTCTGTGAAGCCAGCCAGCCAGCCAAGGCAAAACAGGCAGGGGCTGAGATGCCAGCCAGCCAAGGCAAGGAAAGGCTGGGGCCACGACGCCAGCCAGCCACCCAAGGCAAGGCAAGGCAGGGGCTGCAACACCAGCCAGCAAAGGCAAGGCAAAGCAGGCAGGGGCTGTGATGCCAGCCATCCAGCCAAGGCAAGGCAGTCAGGGGCAGCAATGCCAGCCAGCCATCCAAGGCAGGCAGGCAGGGGCCATGACACCAGCCAGCCAGCAAAGGTTAGGCAGGGAGGGGCCACGATGCCAGCCAGCCAGCCAAAGCAAGGTAGGCAGGTGCTGCAACACCAGCCAGCCATCTAGCCAAGGTTAGGCAGACAGGGGCCGCGATGCCAGCCAGCAAAGGCAAGGCAGGCAGGAAGGGCCTGCAATGCCAGCCAAGGCAGGCAGGCAGGGGTCACAACTCCAGTCAGCCAGCCATGCAGGTCTGTTTTGGCAGGCCAAAATTTTAAAAATAAAGTATTCTTTCCTCCACTACATACAGTTTTTTTGTATTTTCTTCCATGCCAAGGAGTAAATTTTGCAATACAGGTATACACTGCACTTAGCAGAACACGGTTACATTTAAATGCCCATTTTTATTTAGTTTCATTTTTAAGCATGCTTGCAACCTAAAAAAAGACTCCTGTAGAATATGGATAAAGTCAGTGTAAGCTTGGCCTTATATGGGCTCTGTACAGAGCACGCTGAGGCTCTGAAGTGTCACTTTTGGAAAGCAAAGCAGACAGTCACCCCCACATGAGGTAAGAGTGCCTTCAGAGATCAGAGACTTCACTACTTCACTCCTGAGATAAGAACTCCATCTGCAAGTTGAAACTATGGCTTGATGCAGGATTTTTCTGAGGGGCTGAACTTGTGTTAATGGAGGTGAAGCCTGAGCCAGCAGTTTTTCCTTACTGGCTGGACACACGTATCTTCCTGAAAAATAGGTAATCTCATTGCACCTACTTCAAAAAAACAGACACAAACTTCCTTATACTTCGACACTGTTTACAGAGATCTTTTGAAGGAAAAAAAATGGCTTCTTCTGCAGTTAGACAAAATAGGGACTTCTTTGAAAGGGTAACAGCATGCAGATACTCTGTCTGCAAGCCCTTTGTCATCTTTCTGCTGTAGGCACTGACTATATAGCTTGTGAGGGCTACCACTGCTCTGGTAACAACCAGGAGGGTGAGAAAATGCATCTGTTGGAGCAATACATTCACAGTGCAGCAACAAACACCGGAGCACTGCTGAGACAGGTAGCAGAGCGCTTCCATTAGTAGTGAGAATGTTAACCCCATCCAATCAACACTGAACAAAATGGGGACAAAGGATAGACTCCACAAACAAAAGATAATATGCTCTGCTGGCTTTGCTGTATTCATTTCTTCGGGTATTTTTTGTTTGGTTGGTTTTGGTGAGATGCTAATAATTCTTGCAAACTCCCCCATACACAACCAATCCCTATCAGATGATAAGATAAATGCTGAGATAAGTCCTTCTAGTATACAATTAAAAAACAAGAAAATAAATCAGAGATTTTGTAAAGCAGATAGATATGAACAATAAAAGCAGAGGTACAGAAAAGAAGAGCTCGCTTGCACGGCAGCAGGTAAATAATGGACCCAGGAAAAACACCTGTCCATAACGTTCACACCCATATCTCATCCTGCATAAGACCCAGAACACCACAACTTTAAAGTAAAACTAGCTGACCTGTACTGGATTGAGCCTCTAAGCTTCTCTGCTTCTGTAATGCAAGTTTGTCTTTCTACTTAACAGGCAAACCTCATCATGAGAAGATGACAATATGGGTGGAATACATATGTAGCCAAATTCATACATTTAGAGTCAGTGTTGTGCATGGAAGGAAGGAACCATCAGGAGCACATGAAGGTTTAAAGTGCCATTCTTCTCTCACTTGTACTCCAAATGTTTCCTTCCTCCATGTAAAGCATCATGGGAATCACTCAATCACGAGCACTCTCCCTAGTTTTTATGTCCAAATAGACGTGAAAAGAATCACAGAATTGCCAGGGTTGGAAGGGACCTCAAGGATCATGAATCTCCAACCCTACAGACTCTTCTCTGGACAAGGTCTACGCGCCCAGTATACAGCAGAAGTAGAGGCAAGACAATTTTAAGTACTGTATTGCTTTCAATATATGAATATTTTTAGTATTTCAGAAAAACAATTCCAGCATCAAAAGGACAAACAGTACTGTTAGGGTGATGCCTAACTATAGGATGCTACCTTACCATCTGACTGCAGAAGGCTTGGTTTTCTACACTGATGAGTCCCACCCATGCTACTCAGAATCACAGTGGCACTGAAGTTTGGGGAAACTTCCTCAACCAAAATGAACTAATACATCATCATATAAAGTTATTGGAGATACATCACTGCTCATTGTAGAAGGAATGAGACCATAAGATGTGTTCAGATACTTGACTTTGCTGCTGTGCATCTAATAACAAATGATGCAAAAGCAAATGATAGAAAGGGAAGTTTCCTCAGAAGTACTACAGCAGTTCTGCTCAATCAGGTTTTATTACTCTAGCCCTCTGCCCTCTTCCTTAAATTGCATAGAGAATTCCTAAAAGGTTTTCAACACTTCAGAAATTAGTGAAGAGGTGTGGTTATTCAGACCATACTGAAATTATCTGTTATTACAGAGAATGTGTTAAATGACTAACACAATTTATTGATAATGTAAACTAGAACTTCTGATGCTCATAGACACCAGCTAGACAAGAAGAGTAATGTGACAAGTCTATCTTATTTTTATTTTAATGACTTTATTTTCACACTTAATTGTATATTAAAAGATTAGAATCATAAATATAAATCTACCAACCTCACCTGACGTGTTCATTTTTGCTTTTTTAATCAGACAGTGGAATGACAGGGGAGGTTTAGGTTAGATATCAGAAAAAAACTTATTTACAGAAAGGGCTGTTAAGCACTGGAATAGACTCCCCAAGGTGGTGGTTGAGTCACCATCCCTGGATGTGTTTGAAAACAGTTTGGATGTGGTGCTCAGGGATGTGATTTAGCAGAGGGTTGTTAGAGTTAGAGTAGTATGGTTAGGTTGTGGTTGGATTTGAAGACCTTTAAGGTCTTTTCCAACCTGAGCAATTCTATGATTCTATGATTTTAAAATCTCGTTTTTCAGTATTAACTTACAATATCGAAAACCAAATATGATCGAACGTGAAATATTAATATCAAAAGATCAAATCGAAGATAAATAGGTCTGTCTTCTTGGGAAGTGAAAACATAGAAAAAAGGTAAGCAACTATCTTATACGTAGAATCCTTAACAACAACAACAAAAAAGCAGTAGGGAAGTTATTTAGGAATATATTCTTGCTGTCTTGTTTTGACAGTAAAATGACAAGTTTTCCTTTCACATTTCCTGCAGTCTCTGCCAGTTCCACATTCCTGCAGTTCATTCACAGCCAGTGATTATGTTTCATGGTCTTAAGTGTCATGACTGAAATCTGAGCCAGTCATGCAGTTAATTTAAAAACCAACAGATTGTACAAACTTTATTAAACAAAAAATAAGATTTACAACAGCAATGCAGAACAGTTTGTCACTATGTACAACTCATGCTGAAACACCTGAGAATTTTATGTTCTATCCACTCGCTGCTTACTTCTTTAGAATTTTCTTTCTTCTTCCCACTCCACAATTATTCTCATAAATTCATAACATTGTAAAAACGAAGCAAAACAGATTGATGGGTAGATAGCAACGAGTCTGTTTCTAACAAATTCTGCTGCAAGACTTCTTTTCTTTCAAGTGTTTATTTTCCATTTGCATGTTTGATGTGCAAGTTTCTTGTTTTAGTAGACTGGCAGATCAGAATTAAAAATCCTTCGACTCTTGAGATTAATTTCTTTTGCCATTTTTCAGTCGCAAGACAGTGTGACCTGAAGATTTAGCAAACCTGGGTTCTAGCACTGATCTAGTTACTAAATTTTGCATCAGTTTGGGTAAATCACTTCTCTGAGTCTGATTTTCTCCTTTCTTGCTTCATCTGTCTTATGCAATCCATTGAAGCCATTTTTTTTTCATGGAACAGTGCTTGTTTAGAACACATTGTAGAAGTGAATGTACACAAGTAAGCACTTTCCCCTTTCATCTAGAGTCTTACAAATCTTTCGTTCAACCTGCCATGACACCTTTACCACACCAGCCTTCATCTTGCACTACAGTAAAATGAAATTAAACATGCAGATCTCATTGTGGCTTTTCTCAATACGCACATTTGTGTGTACGTACATGGATGTATACAAATGCACAAATCAGGCTTTTAAACAGCATAGTCTTTTCCTTGCCTTGTCCAAAAGCCAGAATTTCACTACTGATCCATTGTCCTTTCAGCCTGTGCTGTTATCATGCCTCACTATGTGATCAGCGCAGGTTTTTTTCTCCCTACCTACACATAAAATCATCCTAACAAAAAAATTAACGCAAGTCAACACTGCATAAAAAGTGCCTATTTGTTGAGACTGTACCTGCTTTGTAGATTTTGACTTTGCATGAAATCTGATCTAATACCAACAGATGGTTTAAATTCAAACGTTAAAGTGCATTGACCTGGCTCTTGCTAAGAGTGTAATGGGAAGAGCCATAAATGAAATCAAGTCATGGTTATGGTGTGCTGCAAGGCACTGCTCATCTGAAGACATCTAGATCTAAGGATACCACATGACTTTTCTTCACTGTGAGCTAAGGTTGAGTCAAAACTCTTCACTTATGTTGAGTTCCATTTAACCTACAAAGGACCATACGTAAAACCCCAAAGAAATCAGTTTTTTTTCTTGAGGTATTAGCCACATCTAAATGTATAAAAGAATATTCATTTCACATCTCCTACACATGCCTGTATTTGGACAACGTATTAGAAAGAGAAAATGGGATAAGTGATACAGATTAAACTGTTACAGTAATAGGAACACAAAACTATTTAGATATTTGGCTATCAGTTTTCTGGGCATGGAACAGTCTCTCCAGTGCAGTGGTCTTAGAACCAAGCTCCTGGAGATCAAGAAGCATTTGGACAACACTTTAAAACATATTGTGTGATTTTTAGGTGGTCATGGAGAACCAGGAGTTGGACTTGATGGGTCCCTTCCAACTTGAAATGTTCTGTGACTCTATATGTTATAACATGGATGTACACTTCTCTGAGCAAACCACAACCCTCCTGAAATGCTGCTGCAAATAAAATCCTCTTCCTATTTTCACGTACGTTTTTTAAGCAATATACCACTATAATATTCAACATCATAAACATTTTTAATGCTCAGCATCCTGGTGAAATCTATGATACCAAAGCTCTCTTTATTGCACTTGGACCCCATGTATTATGGAATTGTTGCCTTTATTGGTCATAAAATAGAGTTCTGGCCACAGAATATATACCAACAGCCATTTTAGTCTTAGTCTGCTGCATAAAAAGATGCAGCATCATGCAGCTTTACCACAATTTATCCTCACTGTTCAAAGTTCTATTAAAATCAATAGTGCAAGTACTTTACCCACAAAAAGGAGTTTGTATCATAAAGACAGACTGCAAAAACCTTCTCTATATTACTCGGTAAGTTACCACTATGGAATATACATGTGATCAAATTGCATGTTTAAAGTTTGGTGTGCATTTATCTTCTGCTCACATACACAGAAAAAACATACACAAAAAAACAGAGTGCTGGTGCACACAGGCAGGCCTCCTGCCTACCTACCAAAAGCTGGAACTCCAGAATAGTATTGGACAACAAAGGAAACGAATAGAAGAGGAATATCAGACAAAAAGACTGTAGGGACAGGTTCAATCCTTGGCCCACATTTTATAATCAAAGAATCTATCTGTGGAACTGTGGAAATAACCAATGGTGACAATCTCTGGTGACTAGGAAGATCAAACCACAACTTAGGATGGAAGATTTTAAGAACTCATCCAGATCACTTAGATACACATGCATATGCTTTCCTTAGAACTGAATAAGTTTATTTATTCCATAACTAACATAGTTTTCTAGTCTATGTTTTCAAATCTGTTGATACATGGTCTCTCTGATGCTTTTCAAAGGGTAGAGTTGTAAAGGCTTTTCTAAACATTCAGACTGAATATCCCTTGCTTAACTTCAACTTGTTAAAACTTGGACTGTGTGGAATACGCATAGAGAATTCATGAGCTCCTGCTTTGCAGCAACCTCTCATATACTACAAAATAATTACCAAATTTCTCTTTAGACTTCTGATTTGGTTACACAAATCTAAATGTTCCAAGCTAGCAATGAGGGAAAACAGGTAGTTAAGGATTTGTACATCTGAGGCAGAAATGCCTGTAGATTTAGCTGCATTAATTTTCAAGTGGAATGAGTCTTTCAGAAAGCAAGAGTAACACAGTGTATTCATCACTCCTAAAAGATGATGGCGGAAGGGTTTTGAAGGAAGTGAGTGAAACGTGTGTAGCAAAGACTGAAAAGACACTGATGCTGCTGCCATCGTATAAATGAGAACGTTTAAAGTATCTTTGTAGAATCAAGGAAAAAGAGAAGGGGAAAAAAAAAAAAAAAAGCAGAGATCTTTGGATGTAGTTTGCCCTTCTCCCTCAGCTTTATTCCACACCAGGATTTTGCTCTCCAGCAGATCTGCAAGTATTCCTGGCAACACAAACTCACATACAGAACTCTGTAGCAACTGCTCTACTCCCAGCTTTCTTCTTTTCAAACATTTCAGACCAGAAGTGTAGGAAACCAGAGAATCAGGGGACTTCCTTGCTAAACGCAGTTGTAAAACGCAGCCAAGTGAAGGCATTTGCAGTGCTTAGCAAGACGTTTTCTTCCTCCCTAAAACCACAGGAGTTAGCTCCACATCCTTGAGCACCATCTACTGGCTTCTCATCTGCTGGCGATTTACATCTAAAGGACTAGAGATCCTATTTGTCCCACCAGCACATCGCAGTAGCTCGGAGTGGTGAATAACAAACAACTTGAGACCAGCCCAAAAGTCAGACTCAGTTTCTATAAAATGTTTGTCCAATAGTTCTGAGTAATTAACAATTTCATGATAATCGAAGTCTGTTTCTGGACAGTTTTCAGTGAGATAATAAGGCTTAACTGAGCCAGTGAATTCTCTGCTGTGAGCAGTTCAACCAGCTGTATGCTGTGTATTGCAGATTGTACCCTTTCAGTTTCTTCAACTCAAGCGACAGTTGTTATGTTAAAAAGATGAAATAAAGCCTAAATCTCTAAAAATAATAATTAAGCACTAGGGAGAAGTAAACAAGCATAATAAAGTTATTAGTAAGTAGTTTTTAGCACTGTAAAAAAAAAAAAAAAAAAAAAAAAAAAAAAAAAAAAAAGCATAGCTTATTTTCCAGGTCTTTTTTTTCATAATTTGTTTTCATTGGATGGCTTCCAGATTCTCTGTATTCTTCTTCCAGATAATCACTGACAAGCCAGAGATCATGGCTTATTTTTACCAAGCTTGTTCTATATATTCCACAAGTGAAGGATCATATAGAAGCTACATAAATGAAGATCCAAGCCAGAAACAAACACATGGGCTTTGTGAGCTCTGAGATTTTTTTTTTTTATACAGTTAGACTCTCCTCATCGAGTCCATAATCCCGTATTTTTTCCCATTTGTCTGGTCTTCCATTTCCATGAAGGACACTGTTACCTTCTGTATGGAACCCACAGCAGAAACAGAGCAGGATTTTTAAATGAGACAGAGAGGTGAGGTTAATGCTGTAAGGCAGCAGTAGCAACTTTGTGTGCAGTGACATGTCAGTGGTCTGACTCTATAGACTAGATTCAGATACAGATTTTGCCTTCTCCATTCTCTAAAGTACTTAAAATTATCCTTAAGCCTTACTAATTTCTATTGCTTAAATTTATTTCCAAATTAAAGATCTAAGGAGATAAGAAAAAGTTCACAAAGCATTCATGTGTCATTTTATACTTCAGCAAAGGCAAACTATCATAAGAAATATGAATAAAGTTAAGCAATCGATCCACCTCAGATATCTGGTTTGGCAGCTTGGCTCATGAACTTTGCACAAAGCAGATTATTTTTTTTAATCATGTAGTGATTTAAGATGTTTGTGTACTCAAACGTTCAACTATTTGATACTGAATGAATTAGAATTGATATATGCTTACATGCATGTGTGTGTGTATTCATAGAATAGTTTTTCTCTCCATTTAATGTGAAGGAAAAAGAAGAGAGGAAAGACACAATCCTTCTAGGACATCATGTATTTTCTTTATTTGAATCTTGGGAAAAAAAGGTTTCTACTGTGTTAGTAAATTTCTTTCTAATAGTGGTGGGTCTCAGGTCTTGAAACAGAGGATTCATTTACTGTTCCATTAACCTGATTTAACACGGGTACCTTTGGTCCCAATGACTGTGCCTCTCAAATGTGACATCAGGGCACCCCAATAAGCTTATCTGTCACTGTTCTGTAATGGAGGATCCCCAGAGATATTCTTTCAGCCTACAAGAGCCTTCATGCATCACAACTCTTTCAACCATATAAAATAAAAAAATTCCATTAGAATTAGCACTTGCGCAACTTTGCTCTTACTGTCTTGGACAGGACCTGTGTGATATTCTTTTAATTAAGCAGCAAACGAAACCTGACAGAACCTTCAACTCAGCTGGAGAATAAGGCACATGGAAGCTTCCATTGCTGACAATGTGTTTTGAGTACTCCTTACTGTCCCTTGTTTTAGAGCAACTCTTTCACAGGACTCGTGTTGAAACACTGGAGAGTCTCAAAAAGCACTAGGAAGGTCAAAAATGAGAGCATTGATTTGGTTCCCACACATTTAGCTGTGTATTCTTAAACACTGGAATTCATAAGGCTCTCCAATGTTAAGGCCAATAACCAAAACTGGTTAAACATCTCTAGTTGTGAGATGACTCTTACGGAAAAAAAAAAAAATACTTTAACTGGGAAGAAAACCATGCAGCTTAAAAGCCCTCCTATCACTTCAGACTTTCAGTATCATGTCTACTGCCTTTCAGACAACAGCCAACTTCTACAGTACCTGGCAGTTGGAACTTGAACACACAGACCTGCAAGCTCAACCTTCAAGAGCATATCATTAGCCCAGTTTCACTGAAGGGATAACATGAGAAATATATCAGGTGAGTTGTTTTTAAAGGTCAGTGTCATTTACAGATAAGAGACATCTCCTACCCCTCACCTAAACAAAAGGAAAAATTAGACCTGTACACACCAAGAGCAGAAAACAGATCTGCAGAAACAAAGATAAAATTGCTTTGCATCAGCTTTATTTTTCCCTAGCACTAACCAATGGATGAGACTTGAATTCTCAGCCCTCCAATTAGAAAAAAAATGTAATTTAAGCAATGTATTTAAAACTTGTAAAGTGTAATACCCTTTTCTTCACAGAATTGCATTCATGAAACCAAACAATCCATGAAGCAGAATGCAAACACTGCTTCTGCAAGAAAAATGTTTGGCACTCTTTACCAACCCTTCAGAAAAAAATGCTCAAATACCACACAGTAGCCTATCTACCATTGGCTGGTATCTACCATTGCAGTAATGTTTTCATTCTTGCTTACTGCAACTTATTCAAGCACTTGACAATTCTTTGCTGGGTTTTGCTTCTCCTATAAGCAAGACTGAGCATAAATTGATGCTAGTGGTTGAGTCGCACACAAAAATACTCAAAAGTGACTATGTTGAGCTAAACGTAACTTTGAGGAGCTTTTTTGCCCACACTTTGCTAGAGCTGTTTTGGAAGAGGACAAGGACAGTACCTTAAAACATTTCAGTTCAAATGCTGGTCCAGGACATGAAGTTTCTGTGGATTTTTTCTTTTTCTTTTTTTTTTTTTAATTACAACAAACCTCCAAAAATATGCCTTCTACTATACTCCAAAATAGAACACAAAAGTAGATTCTTTGACTGGAATAAAAGACATCACAAAATACAAACAAGGAAGGAGGAGTCCAATTGGAAAATACAAAAAGGAATGGAAAATTTTTATTGTCTCACTGAAAGCAGATTTTCCTCTATGTATGCCTAAAATCTCAATCTTTTTATTTCACCTGGGTGTCTCACTTCAGTTGGACAGATCCACATATATGAGCCACAAAAAAAAGCCCATCACAGAAGTCATGGTAAATTTCCTCAATACTGTCTGCTCTCTGACCCAGAGGAGAAGGATGCTTAGCCACATTTAGTCTAGGTTTCTGTAGAACAGATACTAGCATCTGAGCCAGTACTTCAGGTTTTCTTTCTTCATAGTCAATGATTCCATTCCCCTGACCTATTTTAGAGGAATCACATCTGAGGAAGAGATGAATCGCCCACAAATGTCTCTCTGCAACTATGAAGAGATGATTAAGATAATTAGATGAGTTCTAGATAGTTACATTTGGCCAGACAAATTCCACCCAAGAGGTCTAGCATGTATATGAACAAACAAAGCAAAAAGAAAACAAAATCAAACAAAATCACAGCATGTGCAAATGAATGCCAGTCCTCAGTATTATCTGTGTCTGCAGGCTCACAGAGTCATGTCTGAGCCACCACACTGCACTTCATTATTCCACTCGAGACCAATTCTCAAGTGTAATACCTGTGTAGTTGTATCTCTACTCAATGGCATTCACATTAGACTAGAGAGACTTTGCAGATTTTTGCCTCTCTCTATATAAGAATTTGTACTTGTCTGTTTTAGTACATGGAACATGTTTATTGAATACATTTTTTGTGTACATAACACTGAGGAACAGTAAGAAGGAGAAGTAAAAAAACAGGGGTATCTGACTATGAGATACACCAGTTTACCTTCAGAGCCAGGAAGAGCTTAAGTGGTGTTGCATTAAAAGGTTAATACCTACTTCAGTGCTACAAGCCCAGTTGTTTTCAAATTGGATTTGTATGACTAATCTTAGGGAAACTGGCCACTCGCAATAAGAACTCTTAAGAACAAAACTGGTGAAGGGTCTGGAACACAAGCCCTACAGGCAGCAGCTGAGGAAATTAGGATTTTTCAGTCTGGAGAAGAGGAGGCTCAGGGGAGACCTTACAGCTCTCTACAACTTCCTGACAGGAGGCTGTGGTGAGGTGGGTCTCTTCTCATGGGTTACAGTGATAGGACAAGAAGTAATGATCTCAAGTTGTGCCAGGAAGGTTCAGGTTAGATATTAGGAAGAATTTCTTCCCAGAAAGAGTGGTAAGGCATTGGAACAGGCTGCCCAATGAAATGGTTGAGTCACCATCCCTAAATGTGTTTAAGTAAAGGGTAGTTGTAGATACAGAACTTAGGAACATGGTTTAGAGGGTAATATTAGTAGTAGGTGGATGATCAGACTAGATGATTTTAGAGGTCTTTTCCAGCCTTAATGATTATATGAATTTATCCATCGTGCCTAGCACTTCCATTTATCTGTTCAAATGGACTCATACAACAACTCTTAAGGAGCTTGACCATGCCTAATGAGAACTCTTATGACTACCCTATAGAACTGTGCTCTTTATTGGAGCAACAGATTCTTTTGAATTTCTGGTGATAAATACACTGTCTGCGAAGCTTGTGTACCAATAACGTGAATAATGCAGTCAACCGCAAACACATTAAACTAAGGAATAACCATAGAAATTTCTATATTTTCTGGGGGAAGCACTCAGTATAACTGAGCGCACAAACCTTACCCAATAATTGTTGCTATGATGGGGAGGGAAGCAAGGCTCAGCTCACTGACTGGTTCCAGAACTACTTGACTTGTCTCCAATGGTACCTTCCCCAAAATCCCTTCTCTCAAGCCATTTTTCTACTATTTTTTAACTTTCAGGTGGAGCTTGTGTGACTATAACCATACCTGTCTTTGTTGTTACTGATGAATATCCCAATTAGTTATTTCCAATAATTACTCTACATAATCCACCCTGTGACTGTAGTCACTCAAGCTTCTCAGTATTTAGAAGGAATTGGGAAGATCAGATGCAGTCATAGAACAAAAAGAAAAAAAAAATCATGGAATCTTAGAATGGCTTTGGTTGTAAGGGACCTCAAAGATCATCTAGGTCTAACATCCCTGCCATAGGCAGAGTTGCCAACTACTACATCAAACACAAGAACAGGCTTCCCAGGGCCCCATCCAACCTGGCTTTGGATGCCTCCAGAGATGGGACATCCACAACTTCTCTGGGCAGCCTATTCTGGTGCCTAACCACACCTCAGTAAAAAGTTTCACCCTGACATCTAATTTACATCTCCTCTTTTTCAGTTCAGTATCACTCCCCCTTGCCCAGTCTTGTTAAGAAAATCAGAATTTAAGGGCTCTCAGGTTGTTCACCATTTATGGGGTAAAATGATTGGCTCATGGTCATATTATTTAGCAGGACAGTATTATCAGTTCTGAGCAAGGTCTCAAGCATCATGTCCATGCTAAAATAGAAGGCTGAGGGGAGCACACTGCCATAGGTGAAGGAAATGGACTAACAATTGCCCCACACCTCCGCTTTCTATATCTATCTATAATAGTCCTCTTATAGAGAGATACTAACAACATTTGAGAGAGGTCAGGGAAAGGTAAACCAACAAAACAGGGAGGGCCAGGAGACAAAAGTAAAATGTTTTGCTCACAATAGCCGCCTATTAGATGTTCTCAACTTCCATTACTGCTTTTGTACCATTTTTTTTTTCCTTTTTCCTTCTCCACAAGTATCTTGGCAAAAATAACAGGCTTTGACAGTTGTAACAATAAAACCTACCTTCCCAAAGGGGAAAAAAGAACCTAAAAAGTAAAAAAATTGCTACTCTTGAAAAATATGTTGTCAAAATCCATAGAAGACATTTAAGACACAAAAAGGAAGGTGCATCCCTTTGTGATAGGTATTTTCTATTAAAAAAAAAAAAGATGCACATCACTCCTTCAGATTGTAAAGAGGTGACTTTTTTTTATCTCAAGAATGCCAGGAAAATAAAGCCCAGCAGAAAACTCTGGTCAGGCTCTGTTCTCAGATAAGCCTAGTAGAGGTCACAACCTAAAGGCATCAGCAAACTGATGTTGTTTCCATTCCCAAAAGCCAAGCTAACCAAAAAGAATAAGTGCACTTTGCTTAATGAATGCACACTGGATCTATGTGCTGCGTTTACAACATAGAGCAAAAGTGTCCACCAGCTTCCAGCCCTCACTGATACTTTGCTGTAGTCTCAAGCCACATCTCATCCTTTACATGGACTGTAACCTCCTTAGGGTATCTTTCTCTATTGCATTAAATAAGCAAACAGTGCTTCTGAAAGCCCATTGTTGGCTTGCCAGATATCATATTGAGATTAATCACAGAGACACCGTGACTGTAATATGCAACTACATTTCAGAAAATAAAGAGCAGTTAGGCTATTTGTCTCTAACACTTTTGTATCGAATGAAGAGAGAAGCATCTCCAGAGGTAATTCATCCCACGGTAACTTGGGGCTGGATTCAGCTTCACACGCTTTGACATCTAATGACCTCTAATGCCTGGAGTATTCCAAACATCTGCACAATGCTGAGAGACACAGCAGAAATAATAAAAGGGTCCCATACATTCCTGAGTGCTGGAAGGCAGCCAAGATACCCTATGACATCCCAGATGCGCTAAAATCCATCTTTGAAATGCTCAAGAGAGGTAGGAAATAGCAACAGTTGTATTTTCTCAGAACTTTAATGGGCAACTCAGCAGATACCTCTTACAACACCAGATTTTCTGACAGCTCTTGGATGAAAATGGTCAAAACTCAACAGTCTTTCCTTTTCAGACAGACTGTCCAGTTAAACCCCGAGCTTAGTTTAAGAATCAAACAATGTGCAAAACCCACCTGCAATGCATTATTACAAGCAGCGCTTGTAAGGCATGTCTGAAAAAACAAGGGGACACAATACATGAGGGTTTTCTTTTTTTCCTTCTATTTTTACTGATACAGATCCCATTTCTCACTTTCAATTTCCTGAGACAGAGCAACAACAGCAAAATTAATCACTTTACTATTGGCTCTGGTCTATTGTGATACCAGAAAATAAAAGTTGCTTTGAACTTACTAGAAATCAAACCAAGAAATAAAGGCATTCTTCCCTCTGTTAAGGGGGTCCAACAATTGTAGAGTGAGATGTTATGGTGCTTT